TCGAATGCGGTTCATAGATTGGACCCGAGCATTGCGTGGGCACTCGACTTGGGCTCGTGACAATTGCTAGCTCGAGAAGCATTCGGGTTGTGACCCGTGTCCAATCGCTGCAACGACGACAACAGCCGAGCCATAACAATGTCTGGAAATCAGCGCGTGTCCTGCGCTTTGCCAACCCCAGCGCGTGGCTATGATCAACACTGGCGGCATATAATCGGTTCCAGATCACGTGGCCGCTTGTTCTGGCTGCGAGGTGAGGGGGTGAACGCTGCTCGTTTTTCTTAAATTTTTTTTCTGGGACTTCTATTGCGTGAGGCGAAAAACGAACGCGTGTTTCATAGGTCATTAACGTTAGGGATCCGTTTTAAGCGGTATTTGCGCAAAGTACAAAAATTGTTGCATAGCTCCTTTAACGACGTCCATCACGCCGTACGGCTGTTACTGCTTCGAGCGGCTGCCGTTTGGCATAATGTCCGCACCGAAGTTTTTCCAAAAATGCATGAACGAAATCCTTGATGGAATGCCGGGGGTTGTAAGCTCAATGGACGATGTGCTGGTCTTTAGTTCTGATCAGAAAGAGCACGATGAGCGGTTGTATCGCACACTGGAGAGCCTGGCCCAAGCAGGTGTAAGTATTAACAAAGAAACATGGGCTTTCGGGTAGGCGAAGACGTCGTACGTCCAGATCCGGCGAAGAATCGTGCGATCGGTGGTATAAAGGCATCTGAAAATGTGTCCGAACTGCGCAGGCTTCTTAGCCTTGCGCATCGGTGCTCGCGGTTCATCTCCAATCTTGCGGATAAGACTGCGCCGGTATGTCAGCTGCTGCAAAAAAATGCATAATGGGCATGCAAATCCGCACAAGAGAGTGCACTGTCTTATCTAAAGGGGCTATCTGTTGAGACAACTTCGTGGCAAAATATGACCCTCAGTATCCCACGACTTTTTCAGCGGACGGTTCGTCATATGGTCATATGGCTTAGGCGCGATTTGGATGCAACTGTAGCCTGACCAGAGCGAAGGAATATGGTTTTTGTTTCGAGAGCAATAACCCGCGCTGAAATGCACTACGCGAAAATGGAGAAGAAAAATTCTACTTTAACAAGGGCCGCTGAGCGCTTTGAAGGCTCATTGAGAGTCTTGCATTTCACAGTGGAAACAGACCATAAACCGTTGGTCCCTTTGCTGGGAAAACTCCACTGGATTTGCTTCCGCGAGGCATTCAAAAATTCAGGATGCGTTTGATGCGCTTTAGCTTCGAGGTTGAGTACATGCCAGGAAAAGACCTAGTTATTGTGAATGCACTCTCACGAGCACCTTCTCGTGGAAAGCGAACAGTGAACTTCCTTTTAGTGGAAGGAGTAAGCAGCTTTGTTGCAACTTTGCTGTCCGACGTGAGTGTGACAGACAGCATCGGGTTAGTTGCTAAAGATCAGGCACGTGATGAAAACCGCCAACCTATAGTTCGCTACACCCGCAAGGGGTGACCCAGCCTAGCCTTTTTACTGGCAGCTTTGAAGCCCTATTGGCAAGAACGTGCGACATTCAGTGTGCGCAAATGTGTTCTGAAAACCAGCCGTCTTCTTGTTCCACAAGCACTATGAAGTCGTGTATTTAACCAGCTTAATGAAGGCCACCAGTGCACTGCACAGTGCAGAACGAGAGCATATGAGTCCGTCTGGTGGCCAGGCTTAACCTCTCAATTCGCTTCGTTGGTGACGAACTGCTGTGTTCGTTTGCAGCTCCGTGACCAACTGTCGGAGCCTATGAATTCAACGACGACTCCCTCTAGGCCGTGGCAAAAGGTGGCAGCATACATCTGCCATATTAAGGGGCGTAAGGACTTGCTATTTTAGATTTCTTCTCTCGGTTTCACGAGTTGTGTCTTTTAGAATCGCTTGATAGTGCTCAAGTCATCGTTCATTTTAAGATTTTATTTTTGAGACACGGTGTACCTGAAGTGCTGAAGAGTGACAATGAGAAACAATTTGTGAGCCCCGTATTTCAAAAGCTGACATAAAACTACGACTTCAAAAGCGTTACATTTAGCCCGAGGTATCCGCAGACGAACGAGGAGGTTGAAAAGATGGTCAAGACAGTGAAAGGGCTATTGTCGAAGTCTCATGATCCCTACTTGGCTTTGCTAGGCTACAGAGACACCGCGGGACCACTAGGAAATACGCCAGCGGAGCTGTTGATAAGTCGGCGGCTTCACACCACCCTACCTCTTCACCCCAAAAAGCCGGAGCCAGGTACTACCAAGCTGAAGGAGCACCGTAGGAAGGACATTCTCCTCTGGGACTCACAGCGCTGCTTCTACAACCGCCGCCACGCGGCACGACACCTGCCCGAGTGTTGGGATCTGGTGACTGCGTCTGGGCGAAAGACTATAAACAGAATGGCGCCATCCTTCAGCTGAACAATCGACGCCGCTCGTACGTGGTGAGGCTGCATAACTAGCGCCAGATCCACCGAAATCGCAGAGCCTTGGTGCGGCTCAAGTGTGGCAGGGAGAGGGTGATATCCTGTATAGACAATCACAATTTTCCAGAAGGAGATGCTTCCGATGATCTACCGACGAAAGAGTGCATGGCTGGTCACAGTTCCCTAATTGGTCAAAATAGTCCGCTTCAAGAACAACAACCTAGCGTCCCGTTAACTGCGGTCGCTCCGGCATATGTAATGCGATCTGGTCAACAAGCAAACAAAGCAAATTGGTATAGTGTCGCTGAATATAGTGTGACTTTCAGTTTGTTGTGAACCTCGAGTAGTAGCGTGTTGTCTTATATTGTAAAAACATTATTTTGTCTCGGAAAGGAGGATTTGGTGTATCGTTGCTCGAGAAGTTACCATGAGGCACGCATTACCTGGGGGTGTCAAGATAACTCGCATGCATATACATGCATGCCCATCTGTGATTAGGCGACGCCCGAGCTGTAGAGATGAGAGGTGTGAAATAAAGGATTATTCTGGTTGTGCCGCTGCCAACCTTCGGACTTCTAAGTTCTTGCTTTCATCCAACTGGCCAATATGACGAACAGCATAGAAATCAAATTAATGCCATGTAGTCAAACACCATGGTTTCTGTTTTTCACAAACTCGCAAACATTTGTCAAAACGTCAGGCTCATTAGGAAGTTCGTTCATTCTCTTATTGCCCTTGGAATGAAATCAAATTTAAAACAATGATTTTAACGGCTTGTTCCTTATTGTACTTATATGCTATAACGGTGCCGCGCACATTCAACAAAGCACACATCCATGTAGTTATCCTTCGGTATTTTACCTAAACCATAAACAATTCCAAAAATGAATCTTAAGTGATCACACTTCGTTCTTAACTCAAGAGGAGGAAGTTGGGAAGGTCTACCAGATTCAGGTGTGAATGAGAACGATTGTATTTGTTAAATATGAACCTGGATGCAAGCCGTTGGACTTAACCAATTTATTACGAATTTGTTACCTGTAGGTGGATCCAATACTATTTTTGCATATGCGAGAACAGATCTGATCAAAGTTTTCTAATTCAGTTTTTTTTTCATATTTTTAGTGAAGCACTTCCAAGAATTATTCTTAGATACCAGCTGGTTAGCTTTCGTGGAAACATTTTCCACGTACTATTCCATCGCCTCGTGAACGGCGATCATAAATGTTTATTTTTGTTTACAAGGAAAAGTTTAATATCACCTGTTACTTAAAACTTGTTTTTTTTTCTCGTTATTGATATAAAGAAGGATGTCCGAATGCTTAGTATTTTTGGCCAATTGTCGCACCTATGCTTGATTTTGAGTGGATTATCGTTTAGAGATTAATTTGATCTTGAGCAGTTTTGGTTTTGTTGTAAAATACTGGACAATCAGCAAACAACTTAATTGGGACTGATGTACCGCAGCAAATGTCGTTTATGAAGAATAAAAACGAAATTGTACACTGTGGCAATCCTGGAGAAACAGGAGCGAGCCCAAAACCCCAGCCTCCAGACCTCATAAACCGTAATCTTGATGATAGATGTAAGCGAAACCAATTTGTAATCCTTAGGTTTCTAAAAGAGGCTTCAATTGTGAGTAATGATTTAGGCTGATACACTTTATAGAAAGCTCTATCTAAGTTCGATAGTATTATGTCTGTTTGACCGCGACCATTCATAGTGTGGGAATAATCATGCAGGGTTTCAATCAGTCTGGTTGTTGCAGAGAAATTTCACGGTATCCGTCTTGTTACTGACACAAAATATTGTTATTGTAAATGAACGTTAAAAGATGCTTCGAAACAATGTGTTCAAGAAGCTTTCAGCATGTACTAATTAGATATATGGGCCGGTGATTATCCACCTATGAACCCGATCCTCCCCTGAGTATGGGAATATCTTTGGCAATCTTCAAGCGTTTTGGTGCAACATCATTATTTATTGAGGACAAAATTTGTAATAAGACACTTAGCGGTCCATTCAGCGTACAATTTTAAAAATACATTTGGAATTTCCGTCAGGACAGGGACTTTCTTTCATGACAATATTGAGTAAGAGATTTAAAACTCCGTGCTCTAGAATAATTGGAGGATAAGCTGAACAATATCTGTCTACTGGAAAAGCTACCGTATCATAAGTAAAGGCAGATAAAAAGAAAATTTAAATTCGCTAACTCGTTGCTGGCTGTTATCGGAACTACGTTTTTTCTTAGCTTTGGGATTAATATATGGGCAAAATTTAGCCGGGGCTTTACTAAAACATTCTTAAAGAGTGATATCGCATAAGTTTTTCTTGAAATATCTGGTGAGTCTTTACAGTCTGTGGCTTAAGGTTCCAAGTGTCGCCTTTCTATCGCCACTTGTTATAAGCGCCTTCGCTTTCCGATGACGCTAACGCCACCGCTGAAATCTTAGCCCGTCACCGACTATAGTTACTTCGTTTCAGTATCATGTCTGCTATAGGACGCTAAACACACCAGTCCAAGGCGCATTCCAGGCACCATGGACACAGCCCAGGCGCTGTCTAAGACTCACCATGTTGGCTACACTCTTCTTGAAGGTGAAAGCGAGAAAGATGAAGGCTCCGTGGAGACCGCATAGCACGATGAACGGGAACCAGAGGAAGCTGATGCCGCTGATGGCAGCCGCGAAGCCGAAGACCCACGTCAGCCCGAACATGACCGCCAGCTTGACGTACAGCACGAACCGCACCTGGTCGCCTTGACGACGGCTTTGCCGGTGAGCCACCTTGGTCTGCAATGCGGGCAGGGGACACGATCGATGAGGAACCCATATGTCTACTCCGCCATCCCCAGATGGCACAATACAAAGCAGAAACGAGATAGCTTTTCTGAGATAAACATATGCGATAGCAAATCCAGTAGATCCGACAGTGTGTATGGTACTACAGTGGCTTAAAGGGGTATAATGTAACGAACGAAACCGGAGTAGCGGCACAGCGTTGGAAGACGACCGCCTGTGGCGCTGGTGATTGCAGTACCGTCGTTCCGGCTAAGGCTACGGCTTGACGCTTGACAAGCTTGACTCCCGCCAGCTCCGGCGATTCGCAGCTGCCGACTTTGTTGCCAGTTGCGTGGGCGCTTTGTGTGCATGTCTTTGAACGGCGGGCGGCGTTTTTTTTTATTGCCTGTGATCATCAGAATGAGCCATGGTCACTGACGCAAAAAAAATGTTTTAACGTGATAGCGAACTACTCCGACAGACGCTGGAGCAGACGGGACAGATCGGCCTGGATGTATTTATCTCAAAACACTTCGTCTTTTACAGACCACTACAAGCGCGAAAAAACAGAAAGCTCTCAGACCGGACAGAGCACATGATCGACTTTCCGGCTACAGAAATTTCGTGTGCTAGTTTCACATTTTTATTCACTTACGAGCACATACCATATCTAGGAAGTTCACTGGAGACAAATAACTGTTTCTGAGGTATTTATATTAATTATGAAGCGTCTTAGGGTGCCTCTATCTATCAGCCGACGGAGGCAACCTATTGGAGCTGCGGATCGAACCGCCACCTACACTGTTTCCAAGAAGCGGCTGTTCCCGATGCATGGCGGGGGCTAGGCGGTAACTACACTACACCTTTAAGCCACTGTAGTGGTACCATCTCTGAGGGGGGGAGGGAGGGGGGTGGCACGTGCCCTATGCGCCACGTGAGGTGGACGCCGGGTTGGCGAGTAGCCGAGGAGAAACCCCTAATACCCGTGCAGCACTGTACCAGTGCAAACGGGGGACTCGAATGCCATTTACAACGAGTGACATTACTGTGATCGGGGAATCAGCTCACAATCTGTCGCGCGTGGAATGCGCTACGCCCGGAGTCTCGCGCGCTGATTGGCCGTCCGCTCAAATGGCATTCGTTGTAAAGGGCATTCGAGTTGCCCGTGTGGCACGGGAATTAGTTAGGCTTGGCCGGAGGGCACCGACAGACTTTTGTGATCGCGCTCAGTTGACTGTACAGAGAGAAGAAACTTAGCAAACTAAATTTGCTTCAGCGCAATCAAGAATAGTTTGTTGTATTAGTTAAGCAGGGCCATGGTGTATTTATTTTTTATGTATTTAAATTATGAAGCAGTTTTTTGTTTATAATCCTGACTTTTGTTTCTTTTGCCACAAAAGTGGGCGCCAGGGGTGGATTACGAGGTGGTTTCACAAGAGCTTATCAAGTTTGGTATATTTCTTACGTGTCTGTTGAGTATGAAATGTATGTAGTTGAAAGAATGTGCTTTGACAAAGCTAAACCACTTTTATGGAAACGAGGAATATTACATAAAATAATCATCATCGTTATCATCAAGGGCGCCAAAAAACTACTTGCCTTGGGGCAACCATCTCTAGGTAGGCCACTGCGCGAAACAGGCGGTTTTTAATTTCTTGGCTTTCTGTGCATAGGTTTTCAGTCAATCTGAACGCTCATTGAGCCGTATGAGACGGAGGAGGGGGAACACCGGGGCCTTTTCCGTGGCTTCCGTGCTTGGACAAAACGGCACATAAAGAAAGGAGACTGAAGACAGGATTTTTTAGGCTTAGATATTTTTCCCCGAACCTCCACTCGTGAAATTTGAGTACGCAGCCACCTAAAGACATCTTTGTGAAGTTTCAACGCGCACCGCTCATTGGTTTCTTTACACAAGATCGTTTACTCAACAAGAGCGCTCAGAATAACGAGGTAAGAAAGCGAGATGCCATCATCTCGGGAAACACAGAAAGCGGTAAACATTAACGTTATTAGCAAACAAAAAAGATGTGCTATCGGTATGTATTATTTTTAATACAGCAGCCTGTACCCAATGTAAATACAAAGTACCTTTCTATACACAAATAAAAAATAAGTTTTCATTCGTCGTGTAAATTATTCCATTCAACGCGGCACCAACGTCGGAGCCTAAATGTGATTAAGTGAATCGATTGCTTCGGTGCCGTCGCTCTATTCGAGGGTATAAAATGGGCCCTACGTTTCAAGCCTGAGAACACGGAAATTGCGAAAATTGGAATAACTGTATGGTGTAAGTGGACGTAATTTTTTTAGTACAACACAGAAATGTTACTTTTTCTATGCTAGAGAGCAATCTCAAAAAGGCGGACTTTTCGCTGAGCGTGCATTGAAGTTTCTGTAGCTCCTTGTTGGGCTTTCTTTAAGAAAATAAATATATTTTTTCTGTGGTTAGGCAGCTATATACTTACCCTGAAGAAAAAAAATGATTAAAAATAAAGTTCCTCACACAGATTCTGAGAAGCGCTTTGCTTTCTCTTCGTTTTGGTCGTCTAGAGTATTCTAGTAAATCGTACCTTGAACTTGTCCAGCTCTAAGCTCGTTATGTTTTCTCTTCCTTGTATCATTATACTTCCCCGCCGGAGGAAATGGCGTCTTGCTGTTTTGCGAAAGAAAGCACGGTTTCAGTCTTGGGACGTGAATAGTCTGAGATTGGTCAGCGTGTTGGCTCTCACTTCAGACACCACACAAAGCTCAAAAAGGTAATTGACGTCGGCGACTTGACGAAAAAACCGATATGAGCCTTGGTAGCGTGGAGCGATCTTTTATGCAAAGTCAACGCGTCGTTGGGGTGTCCACAGCAGGACCTGTACACGTTTCTAATAAACGCTCCTAAGCCATGCCATGTTGCTGATGGTGATGCCTTTTTTGTGACTCTCGCGTCCCGTAGCAGCGAATCATCTGCCACTATCTTGGACTGCTGAAACCTGCTTAGCGCGATTCTCAACCTATGTTTTTCGGCTTCGCATTTAAATCTTTACGGCCTTTCTTGAAAGGTGTCAGCTCATTTTCCTTGTGCTTGCTGCGTACCCTTTTTGTGTTATTTTGTGAGAAATAAGGCTGGTCGAGCGGAAACATTTTAATGACATGCCATTCAAACGTTTCTGCTCGACATTCACGGGAAATGAAGGAAGGGAAGAACGGCCCTCGACGCGATTTTGCGAACAACGGCAACCATTCTTCGTAAAATCCCATAGACCATTCCATTCAGCCTTCACAGGGTGGCGCCATTTTCTTCGACCGCAACGCCGTCTCCACACATCTGATAAGTTTAGCAGGTTCGGCGGGGTAAAACGAGAGAGAGAGCGCGCGCCTGATTCCGTTAGCAGACGAGAAACCGGAAGGTTGCTGTTCTCCATCTTTGGGTTGTACCGGCGGGCTGTAGTACCCGGTATCGAACTCTCGCCCTTGGCTGCCGTTGTGAAGTGGTTCGCGTTCTTAGAATGTTTGCGAGTACCCCCAGATCAGCCTATAGCGCTCTGTTGTTTTATTTCAGTAAAGGATCAACTAGCGTATCTTGGTTCCGTTACTTAATGGATTCAGCCGTGAGTACTAACCTCAACCACTGCGTCTATTGCGTCAGGATAGCACGTTTTTATTTAATATTACCGGCTTCCCCTCAGTGTCGCTAAAGGCCTACAGCAGTGCAAACTCTGTATAGTGAAAAAGCTACAGCAACCGGAGTTACTTTTTGTCAGAGCGACCGGCCACTCTGACACAAATTTCCCATTTTTTTATTTGCACGCAGGTAACAGCGCAATAGGGCCCGGTTAGCTTTTTTTTTTTTTTTATCGAGCATAGCACTACACGATTACTTGCATATCAAAATCCTAGCTTCTGTGGTTAAAATTTCTAATATGACGTAATTTTAATCCGAGTTTGAACACCTGCCGGATGTTAAGTACAGCCCACTCGGCGGAGCGCGCGACTCGCTGAGTGAGAGGGGGAGGCCATTTTTCCTCTCTCCACTCTTCTTAGTCGAACGGTCTATATACTCAAATGTAGCGTATAACTCCTCTCTCTACGTTTTACTCCTTTCCATTGAGGGCGACCCGCGAGGTCCACAGGCGCATGCGTAGGCAGGCGCCTATGGGTGTCGAGCTGTACTTCTTTGCTATTGCATCGGCGGACTAGGAAACCTTTATTTTTTAAATACGAAGACAGTTTTTATTAACGTGAAGAAAGTAGAGTTTGTGCACCTTTATTGGAGTTCTAAAGCACTAGAAGGTGCCTTGATCGGAAAAAGCAATCACGCGAGCACATTTGGAGTCTATCGAGTGTGAAGACAAGCTTTCTCCAAGCCCGCTGAACGCAGATGATTAAAAGAAAAGCGATTGTAGTCCGAGTATTTTGGGACTTGGACATGCGCTGCAATAATAAATTGCTTTTATCCGTTTATTCCAGCAAGTTCTGAGAGCAGGCACACGCTAAAATGCATATCTTCCTGCGTGTAACTAGAGAGTTTTAGTGGATTGCAGGCACTGGCGTTGCCAGGACTCCTTTAGGTGTGTGTGTGTGGGGGGGGGAGGGGGGGGCTGCTGAGGTGGCTTGGATGTCCATGACTTGGGGTGTGGAGAGGTCAAACTGCATGTGTATACACGTTTCCACAAAAACGCTCCTAGGCCGCCGCAATGTTGCTGATGCTGATGCGGCTGGTGCGACTCTCGCGCCCTTTATCAGCTACAATTTTTCTGCCACTCTCTTGGACTGTGAAGACCCGCTCAGCACGGTTCTCTACCTACGTTTTAGCTGTTTTGCATTCGACGTTTTCTCGCCCTTCTTGAAAGTTTCCACTTAATTTTGGTTATGCGTGCTGCGTACCCTTTCTGTGTTATCTTCCATTGTGAGAAATAAGACTTGTAAGTGCCTGCCATTAAAGCTTTTCTGCTCGACATTCACAAGAAACAAAGGAGGTGAAGGACGTCGAACGGCCCTCGACGCGATTTTGCGTCGAGGGC